GTGGGGGCGATATGCTGACTCTGTGAACCGCTTAGAGAGGGCTGAAAGCCCTATGAAGCGGTATATAAGTCTAACTGCTATTGCTATTGCTATTTAGTTTCATCTTAGAAACAAAACCCAACTGGGTGACTTGAGGCCACTGTGACGCCTGCTGTGGATGACAGCTTCTCCATGTCTTCCTCAGAGGCCTCGCGGCGGTATGAGAGAGCATTCCTGACACATCCAATAGTGCTGACCAAGGGTGGTATTCACTTACCTTCCCTACCAGTTTGCAAATGTGAGCATGCATGCTTGCACGTGCCACCTCTGTGCATGCACTCAGCCTTCCATGCATACACTTTTGGCAAAAAAAGGGCCTAAATGGGATGCCATAGCACCGGGGCAATTGGGTGGGGCCACCCACGATGACTGCTACCGGTTGAGGCGAACCAGTCTAGTAGAATACCACCTCTGGTGCTGACTCTGAACTGCCGGCAGATCATGCCTTGGCTGGGGAGAACTAGCATGAGAGTCAGGAAGAGAGGGTGGAGCTACTGGCCTTGGTGGATGCTAGAGTACACAGGGCAGAGAGGCAGAGATCTGCCAGATTGATGGAGAAAAGGCCCCGCCCCTCTTAATGGGTTGGACCAGGAGGGGCTATTTAGCACAGCAAGCGGAGAGAGGCATTGCTGGAAGCAACGTGTGGATCGTGGCTAGATGGTTGTTTGTGTTTCCTGCATCTCGTGAGTTTAATTCAGTTGCGGAGAGCATTTATATTCTTGTTTGGAGCAGCCAGTTATCTGTTGGGTGGACTAATTGGCCATTGCCTGGAAGGTTAGTCTGGAGCGTCTCCGCGGCTGGCTTTGCTGAAAACGACCCCATGAACTCTTGGCTTGGACAATTCCTGTGACGTCTCCTTGTAAGCCCTGAGACCGGACCACTGGACTTGTTGAAAACCTCAGTGAAGGACCCGGACCTCTGAGGGGATTTGGGCTGTTTGTTTTTGGTACCTACCCACGCAAAACCTTGTATTTCCAAGACTTTTTTTAGGTTTGGCTGTAAGTTTGTTTTGCTTTTGGTTATCTACTTGTTCAAGAGCTAAGCTTGCAGCTGGAGGTTAACTGAAAGCCTGAAATAGAACTGTTGGGGGGGGGATAGACAGAATAAAGCTTTCTACGCCAACCCTGACTTGTGGTTGAGTGCGGGGCAGCACAGCCACTCTCTCAGTCCTGCCCATTTCACAGCGTTGTGTGGGGAGGGGGAAAAGAGGGGAGGAATATTATGCATGTTCGCTGCCTTGAGTTACTTATAAAGTAATAAGAGTGGAATAGCAAGTTAAATAAATCGGTATTAAAAGTTTTTCTCTCTTTTTCAGCTGTGTCTCGGGATGGCAGCGATGCCCAGATGGATGCTCATAGAGTGCTAGGGACGTCAGGCAAGTGGCACAGGAGCAGAAGTTGTGGCCTGTCTCTTGCGGAGCAAATTAGGTTCCATTCAGACTGGATATGCAGGATTCATTGTCTTAAGCAATTGGTTAAAAAACTTGATTTGCTTTAACCCAGAGAGCCCTTTTGGCTATCATTAGCCTGACTTATTTCAAAGCCATCCATAGGAAGTTTGGAGTGCAGTACAAATCGACTCTCCCCCATTGTACACACTTCAATCAGCACCATGTCGACGTCTTCACTGCGCCGTCAGGTGAAAAATATTGTACATAATTACTCTGAAGCCGAAATCAAGGTTCGCGAGGCTACATCAAATGACCCTTGGGGCCCATCTAGTTCTCTCATGTCTGAAATTGCTGATCTCACCTACAATGTAGTAGCCTTCTCAGAAATCATGAGCATGATCTGGAAGCGTCTCAACGATCATGGGAAAAATTGGCGTCATGTCTACAAGGTAAGCATGCACCGTCTCTTATTCTTTGAAATATACACATCTCCGGTAATGTTGCCATGATCACCATGTTTTGATTTTTCATAACTACCGTGTTTCCCTGAAAATAAGACAGGGTCTTATTTTTTTTTGCCCCACGAAATACGGCCTTGGGCTTATTATAGGGGGAGAGCTTATTGTTTTGGGATTGCCGGGCAGCTGCTCCTTTGCAAACTGGCTCCCGAAGAGCCAGGCATAGCCTCTGGGGCAAAGCAGCCATGAGGTGACCACGCTCACGAACAACTGCCTGGCAAACCTTCTCTCCAGCCGGGCAGAGCGCCATTCACTGACCTAAGGGGTATTCCTAAGGCACCAAGGCATGTGGCGCTCTGCCCGCACCCCAGCTCCCGCAGCTTGGCACATTGGGGATACCCCCTAGGTCAGCACATGGAGCTCTGCCCGGCTGGAGAGGGGGGTTGCGCGAGCCCCTGTTCCGCCCCGCAGCACTCCCAGCATAACTTCTCCGGCTTCTCTCGGACAGAGAGTCTTCTGGACAGAGAGTCTTCCAGCAGCCGGCCAACAACCATAGAACGCACTCTTAGAGTGGCCATTGCTGGAAGACTTAGCAGCCAAATTTTGGAGTTTGGAAGCCAGAGAAGAAGTTATGCTCGGAGCGCGATGGGGGTGGAATAGGTGCTCGCGCAACCCCCCTCTGCAGCCGGGCAGAGCTCCATGCACTGACCTAGGGGGTATCTCTAATGTGCCAAGCCACAGGAGCTGGGGAGCGGGTAGAGCGCCATGTGCCTAGGCACCTTAGGGATGCCCCCTAGGTCAGTGCATGGCGCTCTGCCTGGGTGGAGAGAGGGTTTGCTGGGCGGCTGCTCGTGACCATGGTCATCTCATGGCTGCTTCGCCCCTGAGGCTGTGCCTGGCTCTTCGGGAGCAAGTTCGCAAGGGAGCAGCCGCCTGGCAACTCCCCCCTCCGACCAGGCTAGAACGCCACTTCCCAACCTAGCAGTATCCCGAAGGCGCCAAGCAATGTGAGCGCCTTCCCCCCAGCTCCCGCAGCTTGGCGCCTTCAGGATACCGCTAGGTCGGTGAGCAGTGCTCTGCCTGGCCGGAGGGGGGGTGTCCAGGAGGCTTATTTTCGGGGGTGGGCTTATATTTTTGTCCACGTGAAAATTGGGGCAAGGCATTAGTTTCAGGACAGGTTGTATTTTCGGGGAAACGGTATTCACTGTTAAATCTGTTTCATTCCACTCCCACCTTGTTCCACAGATGCCTTATTAAGAAAGTGGAAAAGTTATTCATATGTATTATGATGTAGATTTTATCACAGAAGGCATGCTTCTTTGGGCACACACAACACAGTATTCAGAAGAATGGATATGTGCATTGCCATCTGTTTGCTTTATCCAAAAAGTCCAAATTTGTTAATTCATTCCCAAATGCAGATTTAATTCTTAAAAGAGCCGAGATAGCGCAGTGGTTAAGTGCAGTACTGCAGGCTATTTCAGCTGGCTGCTAGCTGCAGTTCAGCAGTTCAAATCTCACCCAGCTCAAGGTTGATTCATGGGTGGGCAACCATTAACCCACAGATGTTGATGGATTCTAAATAGCACCGACCATGATGGAAAATGTAGTATTGAAGAATGCTGTTTTGCACAAAGAATGGGGAAGCTGGTGATGTGAGCTACAATTTTCTGAAACATTAGCCATCATGGGTAGAATGGTGGGAGAAGTAGACCAGCAACATTTGGAGGTGTACAACTTGCCCAGATGTGTTTCTTCATACTCCCCCCCCCTTCCCCCCCCCTGCTACTTGGATTGTGGGCGACCTTGTTGTTTACAGATACATTATAGAGAAAGCGATGGTTATTGACAAGAAATCAAGGAGTTGCAATTAGCTTTCTGATATTTGTTGGATCTTGT